TGGCATGAGGATCGAGGACTACACTCCCTAGAGCTCATGCAATGACGAGAAGAGTAGTCGTGCATACATATGTGAAAATACTTTGCCATGCCCCTTTCTTGCTCTCTGTTGCAGCAAACCGGAAACCGACAGCAAAACTGGTCAACAACCTCCTGGAGCTTGGTACAGCATTCTGGGATCAAATGCAAACAGAGGCAAATCGGGGCATTACGAGGAATTTCCCGACAAGGCGACTCGAGCATGCATGCATCTTTCATCATTCGGAATAGAGCTGAGGCGGTCCACGGATGTGCATACTTAGTTTATTTCGTTTCTTAGTTAATTTGTTAATTAATTAGGATTTTGTAATATTTAATTAGCTAGAGTAGTTAATTATTTGTTTGGTTGTGTAATATTTATTCGGACCCTCCGAGAGAGGGCCAATTGTTGTAATAAGTGTGCGTGTGTGTGTGATGTATGTCTTCCAACCCCACGTCTTTCTCCCTTTTATTTACCTGCTTATGATGGTTAGATTAGGGCATGTTTCAATTAGCATACTTATGCTCGCATGTTTGCATTCATTCATCTGTCTTGCATGCACCGGGCTCGGCGCATCATGCTAATTGCATTGTATTTCAATTCCAAGTTGAATACATGTTATCTGTTGCATTTCACATGCCATTTTAGAATAGCCGGGCCTATCTGTAGTTGCATTTTGCACGTGTTGCATTAGGCATTTCAGCATAGTTAGGATTCATGCATGATTTCTAATCAGCTTCTGTTTTGGCTTGGAGTACTCGGTAAGTGTTTATGCTTTAGCATCCTTGCATGAGTGTGAGTATTGCGATGATAGCATGCTTACCATGAGGCTAACTGCTTATGTGATATAACTGCCTGAATGCCTGTGGGTGAAGGTTGGATTACATGGATTGGAACAATTCATTAATTGCGAGTTTTAAGCCCATTAGATAGTGGCAAAATCATGTTTTCTAAGCCCACCCGAAGGTGGTAAAATCTGCATTTTAAGCCTACTTGCAAGTAGCAAACCACTTTAGAAAACAAACATGAAATGTTTTGTTCCAATTCAAGCGATCCGGTCTATACTTGTATGTTGTGCGCATCACATAGTAATTCTAGGTTAAATAACCGGAATAAGAACGCGTAATGTTTTCAAAACTCGATATCATGTTTAGTAGAGGCCGATCTTTGATCGGGCGAGCGGAGGTGCTCACGAAGTGACCTTCCCCAATCGTACCCAAGTTCCCGAGCTGAGGCAACTTTGGTGATGACGGACACGTGGCCTTAGGCAAACGAGTCAGGGTTTCCTAAATTTCCCAAAATAAAATATTTAGGTGGCGACTCTGTATCTGGCAAAGCAGTCTATGTTTGCCACTTCCTTCAAAAAAATTTGTCTTCAAAAATGATTTGCCAGATTTGGACTCTTTGATGATTCATCAGTCTTGCACTGCACTTTGCGATATTAGATACAGGACCGTGACATTTGAGTCCTGAACTGTAGTGAGCCCATATGAACAAAACGGGGGATTTCTTCCCAGGACGTTCGGGGACGTCTACAATACCTAGATTGTATGGTAGTATCACATGCCTATTGCATTACCATATTGCTTGCATTTTAAGTTGTATTGTTCATATTGCATTGTATTAATTGCATGTTTCGCATTGCATTTTGTATACATCCTCGCATGCATTGCATTGTGTTTGGTTTGGGGTGTCAAACCAAACATGAGGACTGAGGGACGTTTCATACTTGAAGTGACGAAACGTACTCAATCTCGTCGGCCGACGCTCTTGATCCAAGCTGATATGAGTTCTAGGCATTCTGTGTTTTGTTGCATTCATTTCACATTAATATGCACCTTTGACACCTTTGGCCATCATGCATCGAAATGCGTAATTGGTGGCCCGAGGGTCGAGGGCCACACTCCCTTGAGTCCATGACATGATAGGGAGGGTGGTCGTGCATACATTTGGCTTGCAAATTCTATGCCATGCATTGTCTGTCCTCTGTTACAGCAAAACCAATGTTCTGCAGGAAGGAATGGCCGGTCGGCCACATCTAGTGCCGACCGACCACCAATGGCCAACCGATGACCTCATTTCTAGCCGATGGCCACATTTCAATGGCCGGTAGTGTCCTATCTTGGCCGGTGGCATCCCAAATTGTGTAGGAGGTGGTTCAGAAGCAATCTTAAGACTTTTACAACTCTCAGAGGTGCAGAACAGTGCAAACAGAGGCAATATGTGGCATGGCAACAGGTTTCCAAGCGAGGCGACCGAGCATGCATCGTCCAACCATTCCGAGGCAGGGCCGCGGCCGCCTTCTTTTGTAATTAATTTGTTAATTAATTAGAGTTTTGTAATAATTAATTAGCAAGTTGATTAGTTGATTTGTATTATTCTTTCGGACCCTCCGAGAGAGGGCCAATTTTGTAATAAGTGTGCGTGTGTGTGTTGTATGTCTTCCAACCCCACGTCTTTCTCCCTTTTACTTACCTGCTTACGATGGTTAGATTAGGGCATGTTTCAATTAGCATACTTATGCTCGCATGTTTGCATTCATTCATATGTCTTGCATACACCGGGCTCGGCACGTCATACTAATTGCATTGTATTTCAATTCCAAATTGAATACGTGTATCAATTGTTGCATTTCATATGGCATTTTAGAATAGCCGAGCCTATCTTAAGTTACATTTTTGCATGTGTTGCGTTAGGCATTTTCAGCATAGTTAGGATTCATGCATGTTTTCTAATTAGCTTCTTTCTTTGGCTTGGAGTACTCAGTAAGTGTTTTCGCTTTAGCATCCTTGCATGTGTGCGAGTGATTGCCATGATAGTATGCTTACCATGAGGCTATGTGCTTATGTGTTATAACCACTTGAATGCCTGTGGGTGAGGGTTGGGTTGCTTGAATTGGAATAATTCGTCGAAACCCGTGTTTTAGCCTACTTGCGGGTAGTAAATTTCAATCCATCTTCAAAACAAACGGATATGTGATGCATTGTTCCAATTTAGGCGATCCAGTCTATACTTGTTTGCTGTGCGCATCACATAGTAATTCTAGGCTAGTTAACCGGAATAAGAACACATATGTTTTCAAAACAAGATATCATGGTTAGTAGAGGCTGATATTTGATCGGGCGAGCGGGGGTGCTCATAGCTGACCTTCCCCAATCGTACCCAAGTTCCTGAGCCGAGGCAACTTTGGTGATGACGGACACATGGCCTTAGGCAACGAGTCAAAGTTTCTTAAATTTTCCAAAATAAAACATTTAGGTGGCGACTCTGTATCTGGCAAAGCAGTCCGTGTTTGGCACTTCTTTCAAAAAATCTATTTTCAAAACGATTTGCTGGATTTGGACTCTTTGGTGATTTATCAATCTCGCATTGCACATTGCGGGATCAGATTAAGAACCGTGACATTTGAGTCCGAACTGTAGTGAGCCCCAAATGAACAAAATGGGGGGATCTCCTCCCGGGACGTTCGGGGACGTCTACAAGACCCGTCCAAGAATCTTCATCAGAGATACCTAGTCATCTTTGATGAGGCTTTTCTTGGATTGTCCAGTTTGGACAGTTTAGGAGCACAAGTCTATGTTGTAATTAGTAGTTCTACTACTTAAATATAGTCCATTTCGTAGAGATTTCGTGTTGTAGCTCCTCATGTTCTCCGGGTGCATACTAGACAAGGTGTAGCAATACACCCAGTCTGTGTAGTGTACTTGGAGAACCATGGGGAGATGCTGCCGAAATTTTGTTAGAAATGGATAGAGCGATATGAGCTACTTTTTACAATATAGACTGTGCATTCCTGAATGGGAAAGTAGGATGAACCAACCTATTAGAAAAGAGTTAGAGGTGAATGGTGTCATGTCGTATGCATTATAAGGTACTTAATTGAGGTTAAGAATAATTAAAATGAAATGATAATTTTAAGCTTTGTTGATTTGACAGTGACATTTGTAGTGTAAGACGAAGTCAGGTGGATAAAAGTTGGATAAATCAGCATAGGTTGCATCCAGAATATATAGAAGGGGTTAAGGAATTTTTTAAACTTGCATGCCAAAATAATCTTCTATCCAACGAAGTCACATGTCCATGTAAACAGTGTCGGAATGTCAAACTAGTAAAGAAAGACCTTTTGGGGGAACATTTAATGGTCAATGGGTTTCTTCCAAGCTACACCAGATGGATTTTTCACGGGGAAGATTTATCGGCGTCTGTGCCATTGAATGAGAATGTCAGTGATTCAAATGATAGCGATGAAGTCAATGAAATGATATATGAAGGGTTCGGACTTCCTCCACCAAGCTTGGTTCATCTTGCTAGTAATGAGACTGGAAGTTCTAATATTGAACTAGGCCCAGATATGAAGACTGAAAGATTTTTCAGTTTATTGAAGGAGGCCGAAAGAGAGTTGTATCCAGAGTGTCATAAGTTTTCAACGCTCTAATTTGCTGTTCGATTATTGCATATCAAGTGCCTTAGTGGATGGAGCGACAAGTCTTTCACGATGTTGCTTAAACTTTTGAAGGATGCATTTCCAAAAGGTGAAACTTTGCCAAAGTCGTTCTATGCAACGAGAGCACTCCTTAGGGAATTAGGCCTTGATTATCACAAGGTACATGCATGCCCAAGAGATTGCTCACTGTATTGGAAGGAGACCGCTAGTAGGGATGATTGCATAGTGTGTCAGATGCTTAGATACAAACAGTTTGAGGGTGAGAAGAATGATTATAAAAAGAAGCAACAAAGAATTCCACAAAAGATTGTGAGATACTTTCCTTTGATTCCAAGGCTTCAAAGATTGTTCATGTCATCCAAAACTGATTCATTAATGAGATGGCATGCAGAGGGCCGAATTGATGACGGCAAAATGAGACATCCTACTGACTCTCCTGTCTGGAAAAATTTTGATACTTTGTATCCCAAGTTTGCGAGTGAGCCTCGCAACGTCTGACTAGGTTTAGCAGCGGATGGATTTAATCCATTTCAAGGCAATGAATGTTGCTCACAACAGTTGGCCAATTATTGTGATGCCTTATAATTTTCCACCGTGGTTGTGCATGAAACAACCTCATATGATGATGATATTGCTCATTGATGGTCCTTCTTCACCTGGCAATAACATTGATGTCTACCTGCGCTTGTTAGTGGATGAACTGAATGAATTGTGGGAAAATGGTGTTCAGACATACGACGCAGAAACTAATCAAATGTTCCAATTGTATGCGGTCTTACTGTGGACAATAAATGATTTTCCTGCATATGCAAATTTGTCTAGATGGAGCACAAAAGGTGCTTTAGCTTGTCCTTGTTGTAACATACGTACTCGATATCGTACACTTTGTCTGGATGGAGCGACAAGTCTTCAGGCAGTTGTGCTCCAAAACTCTGGAGCCAGATGGGTTAGATCGTCTTCAATCCCAAATTACTCTTACACTTTGTCATCTTGAGAGAATTTTTCCTCCATCCTTTTTCGATATAATGGAGCACTTGCCTATTCACCTAGTAGAGGAGGCCAAGATTGCCGGTCCAGTGCAATATCGCTCAACATCCAATTAAAAGATATTAGTCATGATGCATATGCATCAATTTACACCTGCTATAAAGGGGAATATTTACAAAAATGTCATATATAGGATTCACATCAAATGACCACAATGAGCCAATATAAGCACATGGCAAAGTAAGATGGTACTATTAAGGGGCATGCTTAGTAAAAAAGGGAGTTCCATATAGTAATTTTGTAGACCTTAAGAGGGTCAAACACGAAATCTCATGACTGGTAATTAAATGACCATAATGAGCCAATATCTAGTCACTGCAAACATTGTAAAAACCAATCTTAAGAGGGTCAAACACGAAATCTCATGACTGGTAATTAACAAACATTCAATGACTCTTAATTCAGATCCTTTTCTGGTTTGGCGAATGGCCTGAGTTTGAAAACATTGGAAAGAATATATTACCTTCCTACCACCACTGGGGCTGACTAATCTTTAAACATGAATCCATTACTAATCTTTAATAATATATTACCTTCCTACCACCACTGGGGCTGACTAGAGCAACCTTTGAACCAGCCTATAGTTTTAATGTTATTCCCCAATTCACAAAATGAGTCATGGTTATATCAGAACACTCAAATTTAAAGCCACTTCTGCATCTTGACCACTACAATAGATGACAATGAAGTATGTTAGGGGTCCTCTAGGGAAACCATAAAGGCTTCTATGTTATGAACTGACAGCAAGATATAGTCCACATGCATAAGTAGCTTCCTTTGTCACCCTCTCATGATGACAATGAATAATTTATTGATGATGTGATGTTTTGTTGACAATTACATTAATTTCTTCGACAGTTTTGTGATTGGAACCCAAGTATCTTATCAATTTTTATCATTCTTTCTAGTATCTTCTAACTTGATATTGATATTTGGATGAGTAGGTCATAGTTCGAGAGGCCCAACACTCATGCATGCTAGTGATTGGAACCCAAGTGGCGGCATTTTACATATTGTGCCTAATGAGTTGAACCAAGTGGTTGACGGGTATACACCCTTGGCTCTCGTTTGGGTGTTTTAGCTCGAGATGGGAACCTTATGCCCCTCACTTATAGAACTTGGAGCCATGTACCGAAGGAAAACAAAGAGAATTTGGAGAGAAGTAACGGTAAAAGAATTATTTCATTTTACATATCAATTTTAATCTTAATTTGTTATTATTTATTTTATTTGTTTCATATTTTATAGTTGATCAATTTTAAGCTTTGATGTTTTGGAAAGCTTACCTGCTTGGCCTTGCAGAGATCAAATTGCAGATATTATTTTAAAGCTGTTGCAGTGAAGATGACTGCTTTAAAATCACACGCCTTCTTTAAAATATGTGGAAATTTGTTTTTGATTGATAATGTGAAATCTATTATAGATCCAGGAGAAAGTTGTTACCTTTGTAATTTATTGCTATTGCTTGATGAATTGAGCTTCATATTTGTATTTTTTAATGTCGGAGTGGACTACTGTGTGTATGCAATAGTGACAAAGTTGCCAATTATTTGCAGGTCAATACAAATGCCGATGAGTCAATAAAGAAATTTGTTTTGGTATCTGTTGGAAAAAAATGGAGAGAATGGAAGGCTAAAGTTAAACAAATGGGGTATACGCCATTCGACAACGATGCTGATAGGTTAACTCATCGACCCAAAAGAGTACATGAGCATCAATGGCGAAGCTTAGTCTATTATTGGGGCACTCGGAAGGCACAGGTATCATTTAAATTGTTTATTGATCTCTATCGTAATCTCATAAGATGAGTTTGTTAAATTAATAAATTATCATGTGTTTGTGTTCATATGTAACAGAAAAAAAGTACAAAAAACAAAGAAATTCGAAAGAAGAAGACATTAAATCACATAACTGGCAGAAAACCATTCTCAGTTGTTCGAGTAGAGGTATATAGTTTCTTTATATTTCAAATTGAAATTGTATATTTTGATTTTGTTACTTAATTTTAAGTGTAATTGTAGGAAACTAATAAGAAGAATGGAGTTCCTGCAACTCGCTTAGAGGTGTGGATGGCTGGTACTCGAAGGATAACAAACCAAGTAATGATAAAGTTGCTGAGGTCATGGTATGTAGCACCATAATTATAATAATGCATTTTGCAGAACATTGACAGCTTTGATTAGTTTGAGAAATCATTTCAAGTGCTCACTCTAGAGACTAAGTGGAGCACTAACTTCAAGATGTTTATGATATCAACCCAAGTAATTTGTGCTTTGCAATTGTTTAAATTTTACTGGCAGTTTGTTTGGTTTTAATCAGTAAATCACAAGTAACAATCCACTTACTCCAAACCAATCGGGCAAATATCACAATTCTGTAGAAGACTATATATACCTTTCCACATAGGTACACAAGTGTGAGTTGAATCATAAAGACTATGAACAGATTTGATGTAGAAACTACCTGATGAATAAAGTAGAAATCTAAACTTGAAGAGAGACAAAGTAGATAGTTAAATTTGATAGAGAGTTACCTTTAACAGTGCCTGCAAATTGGAAGTGAAAATTAACTAATTATGTCTTGCTCGTAGGCTGAATTTTATTGGTAGCTAATTACTAATTAACAATTGTAGACACAAATGAAGGATCTTGGGGCGCAATCCAATGCTACAGATGGAGAAATTATCACACAAGTTCTAGGGCCTGAGCGACCTGATCGTGTTCGAACATATGGATTGGGTCCTTCTCCGACAGATGTCTTTGGAGGCGGATATAGGCAATCGCAAGAACAAACTCGTATCATCCAAATGCAAGTCCAAGAGCAGCTTAACCAATATAAAGCACAAATGGAGATGCAAATGAAAGAGATGATGGATGCTATGCTTAATCAACAGAAAGTACAAATGGAGATGCAAGGCACAATCCAAGCTCAACAAGCACAAATAGCGCAATTGGAGTCTCAACAGGCCATGGGTGGGCCTGTTGCACCAGCTGCTACACATGTGCATTCACAACAACAATCCCATGCATACACCTCATCGTTTAATTGCCATCGTTCGTCCGAGGAAGTGAGTAAATAGTTAATTATGAAATTTTCATATGCCATTTTATTCATGCTATTTGTTCTTATCAAATGCAGGTTCACATATCAAAGAAAGAAAAGAAGAAGAAGAAGAAGAAGTAGATATGACAAACTCAGGTTCATTCTAAACCATTCTAGTTGGATTGCTTTCTCCTTCTCACTTATTTGTTGATTGGCTTCAGGTTCAGTCTAGTTAGTTGAGTTCTAAGATGTGCATGGTCATAAACATTTTAAGTCTTTGACTGACTTGGCTATTGCATATGGATTTAGATCATCATCAATTTATATTAAAATATTCAACATTGGGAAGGTGTTCACCTGATATTTTGCTGCATTTATTTGCTTTCCCTTAGGTGGAATGGTGAGAGATGCTATGTGGAGAGTGCTTTTGTCGCTAATATTTTCAATATAATTGGTGAGAAATGCAATTAACTTGGAGTTTTCAGACTACAAGAGGTTGATAAACAATAGCATTGTGCTACAAAACATCAGATTTTGCAGAAATGGTTTTGCTGCTCATTGCTTTCGGCTTAATAGCAAGTGACGAATATAGTGCACAATGCACAACAGAATTGGGAGACGCAGAATCTGAAAATTGCTGCTCTTACCAAAGATATGATTTGCTTGCTCCCTAAGTCCGAAGCGATTTAGGAAACACAGACGATACTTTTTTTCATTTTTTTGTAAATCACAACTGTTTTGTTTTTCAAGTTAGTTTGTAATTAGCTAGAAATGAACTACATGTTTTGGATAATAGAGTCAATGATACTGTGTTGTTATGGGGCATGACTTGAATTGCAGAGATCCAGATATACTTTGTTGTTGGGTACAATCACTGATGTTGAATAAGGGGTGAACAACCCATAGAGATCGAGAGATTGATGAATTGCTGGTTTTAAAATGTAGAACATTACTTGATTTGTAGGTTTTAAAATGCTACACACTTGGAAAAAATGATAGAAAATAAAATGTGTAGAACATATTCATTCTAGGTATACTTGCAACTGCTCTAATTTAGAATCCCCTCCCTCCCAAAAAAAAAAAAAAAAAAAAAAAGGAAAAGAAAAGAAAAAAATGACGTCATTGTAGGGCGCAGCACAAATTAAAAAAATAAAAAAAAAAAACAGTGGTGTTTTTGCCACTAAATGACGTCATTGTGACGGAACACGTTAATGTGGGTCGGAGGGTGAGACGGTGGTCAAAGATTTTGCGGCGTTTGAAGAAACGCCGTCTAATATTTTTAGCGACATTTTTTAAACGTTGGGTAGCTATTGCGGCGGCCCTATCAGCGGCGAAAATTTTACGCGTCATTATCAAATATTACGGCGTTTTTCAGGCTTTTCGCGGCGCCGCTAAAAAACGAATTTCCTGTAGTGACATAAGCATATTTTGAACATTTATTTATACATCTTATATTGTAATAGTCTAACATAAAATGTTATTAATATTAGGAATGTAATTCAAATTGAATAAGTTTTAAGGTTAAATTGCACTCTTTTTTGTGAAAAATTTTATCTTCTTTGGTTCCAATTTTTTGAATTTAACTTTAAAAAAATTGAGTTTTTTATTTTTCGTATTTTTTTTTATTTTTAATAATTTTTTTAATATTTTAAGTAATTTTTTAACTTTTTAGATACACTTAATGTAAATATAATTAGATCAATATACTTAAAAATTAGATCGATTCGATAATCTTTTTTTTTTTTACTTTTGTAAGGAAAAAAAGGCTCTATTTTAAAAAAACAATTGTTATCCATTTTTTTTTGTTAACAAATATGGTAAATTGAATAAATTATAATTTTCAGATCAACTTAATTATTTTTTTGAATGATATATATCAAATGCCTGACAAAATGAAGCTTGATGAATTTCATGATCTCAAACAACTCCTTGCAATCCAAATTATGAACTAGAGGCAATTCTTTTTTTTTTTGGGTGAATAAGAAATAAGAGGCAATTCATCTCCTTTAAATTTTGAGAGATGAGATCCATACTTTGCACATCTTTTCCTCACGCTTCAAACCCCACATCTTTCCATAGCCCTCTTGCTAGTCCCGATTAATCCACCAACTCGATCAATGCTCAATTTGTTTGAACGGACTAGATAAAGAAGGATTGTAATTTATCAGACTATTAATTTTGGGATACATTGTTCCCAAATTATTTGATTAGATTAGATTTGTATCATATATCTGTTAAGTTATTGGATTAGATATTTAGATTGGACTATTCTATTGAATTTGTTTAGTCATGTGATTAGATGTTTAGATTGTACTATTTTATTGAATCCGATGTATATCTTATTTTATTTAATTTTTTTACTAGAACTTTTAAAAAAATTAAATAAATAGAATATCAATAAAAATTATATAAATTTATTTTAATTTTTAGTTGAGATTTTTTAAATTTTATTTTAATTTGAACTTTTAAATAAATTGAACTTTTAATTTTATTTTCAATTAAATAAATTGAATAAATTGAACTTTTAAAGGGGGTTATAATTCATTGGATTGTTAATTTAATTTAATTTTTAGTTGAGAGTTTTAAATTTTATTTTACTTTACTAAGTATAATTAAAAATAATATAAATAAAAAATTGAGGGTAAAAAATGTCATTTTAACATTCCAATCCGAAAGAGGAGTTATCCCACTATTTTTATTCCACACGCCCCATGGGACACAATAATTTTGCAAATAAGAGATTGATAGTCTGGTTGGACTATTATTTCAACTTATATTTTTTAAACCAAACGTCGGACTATCACATGCAATGGATATGAAATCATATCCCACACTCTAATCCCCCAGACAAACGACCCCCATATCCAAATTAAAAATGTTAGAAACACTAAATATTTTACCAATTTTTTTACAAAATATTCACATTAAATGGGTCTCATCCCCTCATGTAGTTAAACCTTTAGTAAAATTTTTTGTATGGCTAACATTGCTCACGATGTTAAAATTTTAGAATCTCAGTTGTATTATTTTTTTTTTCTTTTTAAATTCTACAGACTTGTATCTTTAAAGGGAATGATTTGTCTCAGCTTGAAATTTCATTTGAATCAGATAGTTGAGATCTTTTATCGGTCAAAGTTAATGAACAAAGGTTTCTTACTGGTCAGAATTAATGAAAGGATTCAACAAGACCAAGAGTTAGAATAATGGACCAAAGAATTTCATTAAGGGTAAATTACATTGACCTCCTCTGAGGTTTCTGACAAATACAGCGCGACCTCCCTTGTAGTTTCAATAATTACAATAATCTCCCTTACTTTACCTGACATTCTCTAGATTTCCCCCTTCTGTCAAATTAGAACAAACGGTGTTATTTTTTCTATAGTAAATGACCTTATTGCCCATCCTTTTAAAATATTAAAAAATGTTTAAGAAAATTTTATTTTTTATTTTAAATATATAATTTTTATTTAAATATTTTATTTTATTTTGTAAATATTTTATTTTTTTTAATTTTAACATTTTAAACTCAAAACACAATTTCACACTCATATCGTAACTAAACACATAACTCAAAACTCAATTAAAAAATTATTTTCAAATTTCATAACCAAACACATAACTTAACACTCCATATTATTTTCAAAACTCTATACTTAAATCGTAACCAAACATATAACAAAAAGAATTAAAATATTTAAAAATATATTTACAAAATAAAATAAAGTATTTAAAATAAAATAAAAAAAATAAAATTATTTGAAAAATAAAAATTAAATGTTTAAAATAAAAAAATAAAATTTTTAAATTTGTAAATATTTAAAATATTCAAAAAAATACAACGCATAAATGTTGTAAGAAAGTGTTTAGGATGATCTAACTATGTATACTCTTTAACTTTTTATGAAAAATTATGTGTGTATGAAACTTGTTTGTTTCTTTCAAACCTGTCCTCCAATCCAAAAATATTTTTTAATATTTTAAAAGGAAGGGTAATAAGGTCATTTACTATAGAAAAAATAACACTGTTTGTTCCAATTTGATAGGAGGGAATTTGGAGAATATCAAATAAAGTAAGGGAGGTTATTGTAATTATTGAAATTATAAAGAATGTCTCTGTATTTGCCAGAAATCTCAAAAGAAGTCAGCGTAATTTGCCCTCAATTTTGACCAATAAAAGACATCCATTCATTAACTCTCACAGAAATCTTAAGTGTTTAATCCAATTAAATTTTTAATTGAAAACAATCCATTTCCATCTTTAAATTATGTGCTATTAAAAGTTTGTGTGAATATTTTCGTAAATCTTACTGGTATCAATGCATGATTAAAGCAACGTGTTGCCTCCTTTATAATATTTGATAGGGTGATGATTGAGATCCCCTCCAATCACCATCCCCACCACCCGCCCCCCCCACAGACACATGGCGGGTGGTGATTGGAGGAGAAGGAATAAAAAAAAAGAAAGAAAGAAAAAGTAGCCAATCAAGTGAAGAGGGGGTCAAGGGGATGGGAAAAAAAGGGGGTCTAAGTCATTATTCTATTTGATATTGAATTGCTAACAACTAATTTATTTAAGAGTTTAAATTATTAAGAAGCGTGATATTTTTAGGGATATGTAGGCCTTGTTTGGTTTGTCTTTAAGAAACAAATTTTGGAAAAAAAATTTCAAAATTTTCTCTGGTCTAAGATCAAGATTGCAAGGTATTGTCCAAGCCCGTAAGGCCCATCTCAAATTCCATTTCAATAATTCAACTTGTTCATTTTGTAAGTTCATTTGTGTATATTATTCATAATAAAAATTTGGTCGATTGATAGTTATAGTCACGAATTTTGTTTTGGTAGTCCAAATCGTTTAATTTGTAGGATCTTTCGTGTATATCATTCATAAAAAAAATTAGGTTGATCTGATAATCTTAGCCACAAATCCCATTCCGATAATCTAAAATATTCATTTTCTAAAACCCTTCATGGATATCATCTATATGAAAAATAAAAAATAAAAAAATTGTCGGTTCTATAATTTGACCCTATTCAATTTGCCATATTTGTCTTTAAAAAAATTGAAGATAAGTGTGTTTTTTAAAATAGACAATTTATTTTTTTAGTGGTAAACACATAAAAATGGCAACACTCACATGGGTGTGAGAACACGTTAATGCGAGTATTATTTAGAATATTTGATAATTTATTTAGAGTCTCTAGCATTTTTATGGTGATGACATTAATTCTATTAATTTTATATGAAAATGCCATTTATGATTTTCTCTATAGGTGGGATTTTTTTATTATACTAGTGGTGGTGGTAGTACACCTAATTTTTTTTTTTATTTTATAATATTTAAAAGCCTCATATATGAGGGAGATAACCTTTCATTAACTAAATTGAAATGAAAAAAGTAATTATATATAAAAAAATTTTAAAGTATGACACATTGTGCAAACCATGTGACTTATTTGATCAACCACTTTATGGTGAGATATTAAACTTTTTTGAACCAATTCGATGTAACACCACGGCCAAATGATTATATAATACTACTTTGTGGTGTGAAGATCTTAGGTTATGTTTGGTAGTATTTTGGAACTTCAGTTTCATTCTTTGGTTTGCATGTGGTGTTTGTTTACAGTTTTTAAAAATTAATTTCACACTTACTTTTGAAAATTCTGTCCAAGACGGAAAAATTTGGACTAACCGATCGTCCTCCCAAACATCCGGCCGGTTGACCGGAACAATGCATTTTTTTTTTACAATTGCCACATGTTATTTTTTATAGTATTTTAAATAAAAAAATTTTGAAAATTTATAAAAAATTTTGAAAAATTTTAAAAAATTTTATAAGTTTTGAATAGAATTTTGAATCGTGTGTTTGGTTATGAGTTGTAAATTTTTATATCAAATATCATATGTCACATAAAATTTCTCACTCAATTCAAAACTCATTCATCGAATAAATTTTTCACACTTAAATTATAATTTTAAAACTCAAAAATTCAAAATATAACTCTATTCTCAAATCATACTGGGAAAATTTTATCAAACCCAACCTTAATTTCCTTGGCTATTCC